TGTGAGAACACATGGACACAGGGAGGGTAGCACTACACACTGGGGTCTGTTGCGGGGAATAGGGGAGGGACAGCAGGGGGTGGGGAGTTGGGGAGAGAGAGCATGGGGAGAAATGCCAGATATTGGTGAAGGGGAGGAAGGCAGCATATCACACTGCCATGTGTGTACCTATGCAACTATCTTGCATGTTCTGCACATGTACCTCAAAACCTAAAATGCAATTTTAAAAAAATACAAAAAAAAGTTAATATGGCAATTTTTATGTTATGTCTATCTTACCACAAATAAAACTTCAAAAATTAAGAAGAGAATAAGTATGTATTTGATGAAAACTGACAATATAGTTACTTCTTGGAAGAAGGACTGAGGACCAGAACCAGAGAGATTTTTCACACATCTTTAACTCAGCATTTTTTAAGCATATGCATTTCTCAACTTTTCAGTTTAAAAGTGTAAGGGGCTTGCCAACAACCCCCCACATCCCTGTCAAACAGAAGGGGTAGTTAAGAGCCAGATAGGATTTTTTGTTTTCGTACACGTGTCAATCTTTAAATAGAGAACCTGCATTTAGGGTTTAATTCTCTTATTTGCCTCACTGTAAGTGAAACTTTCTCAAAATTTAGGAAAGCCACTTATTCACAGGAACCCAAATGTTCAGTCTTTCACACATGAAAAGAATAAAGCTCTTCTGTCCATGGTATGTTCCTGTTGTTTTTTTAAATAGTAGTGATAGAGTTTTGCAAATTCATTTCTGCCCTATCCACCAGGCTTGTGTCCAATATCTAGATAGATAGATAGATAGATAGATAGATAGATAGATAGATAGATAGATAGATAGATAGATGATAGATAGATAGATGATAGATAGATCAATCGATTTCCAGTAATAATTGGATAACCCTAGGGTCCTGGTGCTACTGTGGTCTTTTAGACATAAGGAAACTGGTACATAGCAGGGTAAATAACTTTGCTGAGGCCTTGATGCATTCAGGTGCAATTTTGCAGCCACTCTGCTATGACTCCAATGCCTGTGTGTTAAATCATCACACTGTGCTGCCTCCAGCAGCTTTTCAGGGCAGGGATGACGTGAAGCCGATTGCATTGAAATCTGCAAGGACAGTTGGACCAAAAGCCTTCCAGCTTGCTTCCTGTGGTGTCCCACAAATCACACAGCATCTGGCACTAAGTCCCTGAAAGACTTAGTCAATTAGCCAGACTTGCCGTAACCAAGAGCTATTTACCTAAGCATGCAAGTAAGTGAATGACTCTGGAGGAACTGAGTGTACAAACCCCTCTGACATCCTGAGCAACTAAGGAAGGACTGCTGGAAACCATCCATGGCACATCTGCCTGTCTTTTTCACCCCAGCTCCTTGCACTCCCTAGCAGGACATTCTAACTAGGGCAAGATTTGTCTAATCCAACTGTGTCTCTGTAAGGTGTGCTCTTAACTTCTCACCAGTGGTGAGTCATTACTAATCGCCAATCCCCACATGAAGCCAAGATGCCCCTTCAAGGAGTAGCTAAAGTACTTTAGCAAATGCTGTACCATGTCTGACAAAAGTGACCTAAGTGGAAGGACACACTTATCACTGCCTTCTTCCCTTGACCCACAGAAGGGTCCAAAGTGGAAACTCTTCCAGAACATAAAGGCTGCAATCAATGCCACCCACAGCTGATAAATAACACAGCACATCCATCTAGTGTTCTGAGGCAAGGATGAACACACACAGTCGTGCGCACATTCAGCTTCGCGACCACCTCCCGCTTCTGTCCCTCCATCAACCAGGCACCTAATATCTTCAGTGACTCTTAAAATTCTCAAAGCAGGAAGTTAAACATGCCAGACACATCAGCAGCAGCACATGTGGAGCCAAGCATTTGCTAAAGCCACAGCTTATAATCAAGGTGTTTTTAGAAATTATTATTTCCAATGGCAGATTACTCTACATGATTATCTTGTTTTCACTTGGGTCTTTTCTCTGATGGAGCAGTACTGAGACTGACTTTCCTAAACACACTTGCTCACTACTGTTCATGGAGTTCTGTTCTGATTTTTCTAGGAATATAGGTTTACTCATCACGCCCATTAACTTATGAAATAGTAGAGCTGCTGTCCTTACATTGCCTAGTGCAAGATACCCTTGCCTTTTCTCAGTTCTTCGCACACACACACACACACACACACACACGTCTAGAAATAGATATATCTATATCTGTTATCTATATATCTATAGATAACAGATATATCCAGATAGAGAGATAGAGACAGATCATAAATTCAGAATAACAAATACATCATTTGTCTGTTATCTGCACCTTGTTATTTTTGGCCTCTAGACCACTAGTTCTCAAAATCTGGCTTGAATTCCTATCACTGGGAGGGCTTGTAGAAACACACTGCTGGGCCCCACCCCAGAGATTCTGAGCCACTAGGTCTAGAGTGAAGCCTGAAAGCTTGAATTTCAAACAAGTTCCTGAGTGATGCAAATGAGGCTCGTCCAGATCTCACACTTTGAGAACGACTGCCTGAGAGGAATGGCTTCAAAACCCATCAAGAGGGATGATGATTTTTGAACAACAGAGAGAATTAAAAGACACTAAAGAAAACTCAAAACCATGTTCAGCTGCAGGAAGAACACGGACTTAAATGTAAGAATTAGAAAATACTGAAGTCACTAAGAGAGAAGGGCCTTTGTGGTGAACCTTCAAAATCATCATCACCATCATTTCATCGCTGGAGCTCTCTGCACGCTGAGCTTTGGGTGTGCATCTGCCAACTTCTGCTTGACTTGAATATGTGACACTTCATGTATTTATAAATAAGCTGGGCAAAGCTTTGCTTCTTCTGAACCTCATGACCCTATATTGGTCCTTGTTGCTCCTTCAAGTTCACTTTGTCTCATTCTTGCATCTCTCCCCACCTAAAGTCTGAGCACAAGGATGGGGTCTTCCTTTGCCCACACTGAAACCTGCTTTCTCAATAAATCTGTGAGATTTCAAGATTGACTCATTCACACAAAGGTGTAAAATGGCTGATAGTTTTCAATATGTGACTCCTCTTAAGAAAAACAGATTTGAAATGTATTGTTTTCTTGTGTAATTATAAATGTTTAAATGCTACAGATGTTTCTGGAAGATGTTTAAAATTGGCACAGATGTAGAAAAGCTGAAGCATGTGGCTGTCCTGTCCATAGGTTCCCCCAAATCCTGAGGCAGCCCTGCTCGTAAGGCATGTGTCATGGAGTTGCCTTTCCCCATTTTATAAACGTGATTTCTGTCATGAGAGACAGCATTGGAACCACCAATAAAAGTGGGCCCCTCTCCCCTCCGCTAGGACTGCATGAGGCAAACAAAGGGCTTCCAATCTGGCCATGCCTTCAGGGACCCACCAAATTCTTACAAAGGACAATCAGCAGCAGTGACATGCTCACAGTCCTCTGAGTGACCACAGGCCTGAGACCACATCCAGGTATATCTGCACCTATACTGCAGCCTACACATAGGTGATGCTGCCCATGAATTCTTCCAGGCAGGGCTGAATCTTCACTCATGTGGGCCTGTGGACAGGAGCGGTCTTTACTCATGCCTTGTCAGTGATTGTACTGTGCCCACCATGCCCCACAGCCCGCAACGCGTCCATTCCTTCTCACAATATCACAACAGTATTGGAGGGGATGGATGAGCTCCAGGCAATATGATAAAAGCATCATTGTCCTGAATATAGCACTATTTGCTTTAATCAAAAGAAAGAGGGTAGGTGAGCTTGGGCAAAAAAGAGATTAAGAAAGAGTGACAAGAAAAGCAACATGCAAGAGTAATAGCCCAGAATGCCCAAACAAAAGTGCCAGGCCACACATCTGCCCCAGAGCTTGGGAGTGGGTACCCCGTGTGTATCACGCTCCCACACACACCTGCTAAGGATGAAGCTTTAGAGACAGCCATGCGGTCCAGAAGTGTTACTACTCTTATTAACTGTGTAGGGAGTCAGGGAAGCAGAGAGTGTCCAAGAGGCTGACCAAAGACCACCAGCCAGGTGCAGCAGAAACCCCCTGTGTCTGTGCTAAGTCTGCCACAGGGCCCGCCAGGACCTCTCCCTGAACCTGCAGGTCACTCAGCACAGGAAGGACCCCAGCATAGCAACAGCAAGGCATGAGTCAGACAGTAGAGGGCTTTGGGCTTCTCTTCACGCCTCCACTGAAGAGTAAAGAGCATCTCTTTAAAGTCTTGGGTGACTAAAGCTTTTAGAGTGGCCACTTGAGGCTCAATACACAGGACAATAGAATGTCTCTTAAGATTCCAAAAGGACCTCCACAACACAGCGCGGAGCCTGCCCACAAAGCCCTCCCTGCCCTTTCATCACATCACGAAGGCTTGTGCTTGGCAGGAAGCAGTGGCTGCAGCAGGCCCTGCCAATTGTTTCAGCCATCACCGCTTTATCATAAGCACAGCTGCATGTTTTGGCATCCACTGAACAAGTCATCTCTCTTGAGTCTAAAAATAATCCCAGCAAACATGGAGAGCCAGTGCAACATTTAATTTTTTTAAACTAGGAAGTAGTTTGGTTCACATGAAAAAGCATACAAATGTATCTATGCTGTGACTATGAAACAGTATTTTTATGGCTGTAGAAAGCCAAGAGAAAAGAGAAAAAGTTAAATGTAAAATTCTTTAGGATTGTAGAATAATGGATGATTTTGTCCCCCATAAATATTTCTTGAGATGTCACCTTCAAAAATAACAAATGTAACACATGCTCACCACAATCTCTGAAACTATGCAAATAAAGAAAAAGCCAATATGCTTTTCCACATACCCTCTCCCCATTTATTCCCAAAATCTCACTACAACCAACTTGACACCCCAGGATTTGCCTTATATACCTGTCCCCATACTCAAAGGAAACTACAGACCCATAGGAGCTTTCAGTTGTTATAACTTTAGGAAAATTGAAGATAGATGGATAGACAGAGACATAGAAACCTACATATCTGTGCTCACCCTCTCTCTTTCTCTTTAATTTTTCTAATTTAAAACATTGTCACACTCCTCCAGGTCAAGAGGAAAACTCATTCTTCTGAGTAGTTTCACAGTATTCCACGGTATGAATGTTCTTCTTGTTACCAGGTTGTTTTCAGGTTTTCACTGTTAAAAACAATGCAGATATCACTGTGAATAGCAGTAATAACCTCCAAAAATTCTCCCCTTTATACAAGCAATAAATACATTGGCAAAACAGTCATAATCAACTTTTCTTGACCTCTAGAAATTAACCAAGGCTTGCATTAATCCAGGGATCCTCTGCTCATAAAAAATATCTAAATCTAGGCAAGAACAGAGAGTTTTGTGACATTTTTAATTGCCTTATTCCTATCTCCTCCTCTCTTGCTCCTTGGTAGCCTTAAAAACCAACAGCCAACACAGTGAAAACCAGAAGCCTGAAACCACTGAAGGACGAATAAAGGGACTGAACTTCCTTGAAAGCCCTATTCTCAGAGAAATGTCATTTTGCAACCTGTCAGGTGAGTCTTTAAAATATCCCACTCCCAAGGGTTGTCTTTATTTGACTGACTCAAATAAAATACAAACAGTGCAAATGGCCTTTTCTAGGATGAAGGGGGAGGCACTTCTAGAAAACAGATCGGTAGCAACTGTTACACATTATGACTGCCTGAAGCAGTGGCTAACAGGTGGAACGAAAAACAGGCTAACTAAAAAAGTGTAAAGTAAAAATCTGAGTAATGAGATGTCCACATAAGGCTGACATATTTCTGGGACTCTAGAAGGCCACATGTATGTGCACATCCAGGGCTGTGAGCATTCTCAGAAAAGACCTGAGAGGTTCCCAAGTTCTTGCCTCTGGTTGACCCTGAGGCTCTGTGCAAGCAGCAAGTGATGGCTAAGGTAGACTCAACAACCATACCACTGACAATTAAACGCATGCCCCAATATACATTGAGCCCCTTATTGGTTCCAAATATTTGGAAACTTATTGGTTCCAGATACTTAAGGAATTTGCTATTCAATCATTAGCCAATCTCCATACTAACTGAACAGAGATTTCAGCAGTCACATGTGACAAGTAATCTAGACTGACACAATTCGTTCTGAAAAGCCACTAAACAAACAACAAAAAACCTTGGGTGGAGAGGGGTAGAAAAGTTGATTCATACAGCTGCCACATTACATTATTTAAAATGTCCAGGTCTTAAGAAAAAACTATACCACATGTAAAGAAACAATAAGTTATGGCCCAAACACAGGGGGGAAAAAAAGCAATCGAAAGAAACTATACTTGAGGAAGCCCAGACATTATACTTACCAGAGAAAGACTTGAATCATCAATTTTAAATATCTCTAAAAAACTAAGGGCAACCATATTTTAAAAAGTAAAGCCTGAAAATGATATCTTACCAAATACAGAATATCAATAAAAATATAGAAATTATTTTTTTAAAAACAGTAAATAGCAATTCTAGAATACAAAAATTATAAAAACTAAAATGAAGATTCACTGGAGGAGCCTAACAGCAGATTTGAGCAGGCTGAATTAAAAATTAAGATTCTGAAATATAGATTAATAGAGGTGATCCAGTATGAGGAACAGAAAAGAAAAAGAATAACAAAAAATGAACAGATTCTCAGAGATCTCTAGGATTCCATGAAGCATATAAACACTTGCATAATAGGAGTCCAAAATGGAGAGGAGAGGAAGGGATGAAAAGCATATTTGACAAAATGATGACTAAAATATCTTCAAATGTGATGCAAAACATTAATCTGCACATCCAAGAAACTAAGTGAACTCCAAGGAAAATAAACACAAAGAAAGTGAGACCAAGACATATCATAAACAAAGTATCAAAAGACAAAGACCAAGAGAACATCTTAAAAACAGCAAGAGGGCCTGGTGCGGTGGCTCAAGCCTCTAATCCCAGCACTTTGGGAGGCTGAGGTGGGTGGATCACGAGGTCAAGAGATCAAACCCATCCTGGTCAACATGGTGAAACCCCGTCTCTACTAAAACTACAAAAAAAAAAAAAAATAGCTGGGCATGGTGGCACGTGCCTGTAATCCCAGCTACTCAGGAGGCTGAGGCAGGGGAATTGCCTGAACCCAGGAGGCAGAGGTTGCAGTGAGCCAAGATCATGCCATTGCACTCCAGCCTGAGTAACAAGAGCAAAACTCCGTCTCAAAAAAAAAAAAAAAAAAAAAAAAAAAAAAACAGCAAGAAAGAAGCAACTCATCATAAACATTAACTCTCATTTCTCGTCAACATTAACAGCTGATTTCTCATCAAAAATGATGGTGGCCATAAGGCAATAGAATGACACATTCAAAATGCTGAAAGGAAAAGACTGTTACCCAAGAATTCTACATCTAGCAAAACTGTTATTCAGAAATAAAGGAGACATTAAGATAAACAAAAACTGATAGAATCTATAGCTAGCAGACCTGCCCTACAACAAAAATTACAAGGAGTCCTTTGGGCTAAAATAAAAAGGCATAGTAACTCAAATGAGACAGTAACTGAAATCTAATAAAAGAATCAAAGTACTAGTAAAGCTCAATACATAGGAAATTATAAAAGAGAGTATAATTGTATATTTTTGTTTGTAACTCTCTTGTTTTGCCTACCTAATTTAAAGTGCGCTCCATAAAGCAACAGTCATAAATCTGTGCTGATGGGCATACATATACAGAGATATCATTTGTATAACAGTAACAGGACAAAGGAGAGGAAAGTGAATGGAGCATTATGGCAACAAACTTTTTATATATTACTGTATTAGTCCGTTTTCACACTGCTGATAAAGACATGCCCAAGACTGGGAAGAAAAAGAGGTTTAATTGAACTTACAGTTCCATATGGCTGGGGAGGCCACGGAATCATGGTGGCAGGTGAAAGGCACTCCTTATATGGCAGCAGCCAAGAGAAAATGAGGAAGAGGCAAAAGCAGAAACCCTTGATAAACCCATCAGATCTTGTGAGACTTATTGACTATCACAAGACTAGCATGGGAAAGACTGGCACCCATGATTCAATTACCTCCCCCTGGGTCCCTCCCACAAACATGTGGGAATCTGGGAGAGAGCATTTAAGTGAGATTTGGATGGCGACACAGCCAAACTGTATTATTCTACCCCTGGACCATCCAAATCTCAGGTCCTCATCTTTCAAAACCAATCGTGCCTTCCCAATAGTCTCCCAAATCTTAACTCATTTCAGCATTAACCCAAAAGTCCACAGTCTCATCTGATACAAGGCAAGTCCCTTCTGTCCATGGACCTATAAAATCAAAAGCAAACTAGTTACTTCCTAGATACAATGGGAGTACAGGTATTGGGTAAATACAGCCATTCCAAATGAGAGAAACTGGCCAAAATAAAAGGGTAACAGGGCCCATGCAAGTCTGAAATCCAGCAGGGCAGTCAAATTTTAGAGCTCCAAAATGATCTCCTTTGACTCCAGGTCATGCTGATGCAAGAGGTGGGTTGTCATGATCTTGGGTAGCTTCAACCCTGTGGCTTTGCAGGGTACAGCCTCCCTCCCAGCTGCTTTCACAGGCTGACACTGAGTGTCTGTGGCTTTTCCAGGCACATGGTGCAAGCTCTTGGTGGATCTACCATTCTGGGGCCTAGAGGACAGTGGCCCTCTTCTCACAGCTCCACTAGGCAGCACCCCACACAAATGAATCATCTAAACTTTCATCTTAAAGAACTATAAAAAAGGAAAACAAGCAAGAAAGAAGGAAATAACAAAGACTAAAGTGGAAATTAATAAAATAAGTTAAAAAAATAGATGAAATTAACGAAATAAAATGTTGTTTCTTTGAAAGATCAACAAAATTTACAAACCTTTAGCTAGACTGATCCATATAAAAGAGAATAGACTCAAATTAGTAATATTAGGAATCCAAGAGGGGATATTACTGCTGGATCCCTTCCTTACCCCATATTTTAAAAAATTAACTCCATAGACGTCCAAATACAAGAAGCTAAAAGAACACCTGGGAAATTCATTGCAAAAAGATCATCACCTAGGCACATAGTCATCAGGTTACCTAAAGTTAAGATGAAGGAAAGAATCTTAAAAGTTAAGATGAAGGAAAGAATCTTAAGAGCTGCAAGACAAAAGTATCAAATAATCTATAAAGGAAAATCTATCAGAATAACAGCAGAATTCTCAGCAGAAACCTTGCAAACTAGAAGGGACTGGGGTCACATCTTTAGTCTCCTGAAACAAAATAATTGTCACCCAAGAATTTTACATCTGGCAAAACTAAGCTTCATAAATGGAGGACATATAAAGTCTTGCTCAGACAAACAAATGCTGAGAGAATTCACTACTATTAAGCCAGCACTATAGGAAGTGCTAAAAGTTCCAAATCTTAGATCAAAACCTTGAAATACACCAAAATAGAACTTCCTTAAAACATAAATCTCAGGCCGGGCGCAGTGGCTCAAGCCTGTAATCCCAGCACTTTGGGAGGCCGAGGCAGGTGGATCACGAGGTCAAGAGATCAAGACCATCCTGGTCAACATGGTGAAACCCCGTCTCTACTAAAAATGCAAAAAATTAGCTGGGCATGGTGGCACATGCCTGTAATCCCAGCTACTCAGGAGGCTGAGGCAGGAGAATTGCCTGAACCCAGGAGGCGGAGGTTGTGGTGAGCCGAGATAGCGCCATTGCACTCCAGCCTGGGTAACAAGAGCGAAACTCCATCTCAAAAAAAAAAAAAAAAACCATAAATCTCACAGGGTATGTAAAATAATCACACAATGGGGGGGTGGGGATGGCAGGGAATGCTAGTTGTTAAGGCAACAACTAGCATAACAAATAGGTGTTCCTCACATCTCAATACTAACATCGAATGTAAATGGCATAAATGCGCCACTTAAAAGATACAAAGTGGTAGAATGGATAAAATCCCACACACCAAGAATCTACTGTCTTCAAGAGACTCTCCTCACCCAGAAGGATTCACATAAACTTAAGGTAAAGGGATGATAAAAGATATTCCATGCAAATGGAAACCAAAAGCAAGCAGAAGTAGTTATTCTTATATCAGACAAAACAGACATTAAAACAGCAACAGTTAAAGACAAAAAGGGATATTACATAACGATAAAGCATTAGTCCA